CTAAATCTGCTATTTAAAATCACATTATTAAGTTTGATCTAAATTTGATTTAAATAAATTAAATATAAAGGTACATTGTAATCGATCTATAGCAAAAATTTTAAGGGCTTGTTATTGGCAAATCCGTGGCTCTCTTTAATTAGAATGAATTAAGTGACATAGTTAGGTAACACAAATTGGCGTTAAAACAAACCTATGAAAATTTTAATAAATAATTTTTATCTAAACTTTCTAAATTCGCCTCTGAATGTTATTGTCACAATATTTAAAGCAATAAATCAATGTTGCTATCAGAGTTATCTTCTTCATTCTCATATGCAACCTAACTCCAGAGTAACTTTGAAAAAGTCTCTGCAACACTGGCTTGAAATTGGAGGTGCCATCCGACCCGAATGATCACATCGAGCATTTACATATGGCGCTCTACATAAAGAACACTGCAGCAGGGCTCAGTATAATTCAAGTGGGCAATAATTTAATTAAAGTACAGTATTTAATTTATATTCAAAAGAAATCCAAGAGATAGAACCTCCACTAGGATGGAACATATACAAAGACACACCGTAATATATGGTACAAACTTGCATTGAACTGTCTTCATAAAGCTTAAACGAGGATAAACTTCATAAAAAATATTTCATCCGAATAATTTACATTATTAAATGTAACTGTTATTTTTAAAATAAACTCTCTTACGTCAAAGCTGCTAAAGGGGGAACATAGATTAAGTGTTTAATGCAAGTACAAACAAAGGTACATGATTAGAATCAAATATAGAATTTAAGCTAACAAAAACAACATATCCAAAAAAAGTCTGCGTTATATTAGGCCTATATTGAAAAAAATGTAAATTCGGCCAAATATAGTTTGGCCGTGACCTTTTAAACGTTACGGCCAGGCAAATTTTTATACGCCCAGATTTGCGGAATCTAGCCGTCAAAAAGGCCAAATGGCAACCCTGAGCAAAACTCATCGAGGTCGGAGAAGCGTCGCGCGTGGCGTTGCTTTTTCTGAATACAGTACAACATTGTGTCATTGTACGTCAAATCACGAAATTTGTGTCAACTAATGGTGTTTCGCGTCAACTTGTGCTAATTCGCGTCCAATGCACCCGTAGGGTAAATCCTTCTTCGCATACGCAACAGGGAAAATAACGTCGAATTGAAAAGTTTTTTGGATGATTTTTGTATGCATGTCGAGCGTATAAAGACACCCCCACCCCACGATTTTTGCTACTCTTTATGGTCTTGATATTGCATCTAGATGGCTAAACGAAATGGCTAATCTATTAACGGATCCAAATGTAGGGCTAATCTTCAAAATAAAACCATTTCATTGAATTTTAAACATATTACTCAAAATCTTATTTCCCAGTATTTAAAATTGCGTTCATTCATACTGATATACCTCCATGTTTATACTAACATTAGGTTCATTATAGTAGTAAATTCGCATGTTACGGACGATCCACACAAGGCGAATGATTTCAAAAATCTTGCATGTCACGTGTAGACTAGACTACCCCCTGATTTTTGATCGTATATTTGCTATATTAAGCCTCGTCTTAACGCGATATACCGGTAAAATAAAGAAAAAAATATTTTTCTGCAATTCCCATTTGTTGTAGCCTGGCAGGCATCGCTAATTGGCAAGAATATTTGTTTTCATTCATCAATATCGCAGCCATCAATACATTGGATCGCAGTTGAGCACTGCAGTGGGAGTGGCAGGGAGGAGGCGCGGCACTGGTACACCCGGAACCCATGAGTCGTCGTTTCGTCACTGATTGTAAAATTTGTTGCTTGACCAATTTGTTTGATATTTCTTTTCCTATTTCATTGTTATGAATGCACATGTTTGGCTGAATAAAATGTCTTCATCACTATACATGCACGGTACATCTTCTTCATTTTTATTGCCACCTTAAATTTTATCAACTGCATTTCAAAGCCTTGTGCTGGTTTTTATTTTATTTATTTTTTTTTTTTTTTATTTATTTTTTGGCGAACATTGGATGGGCTTCTTTTCGAGATGGGCTTCTTTTCCAAAATAAAGCGCTGGTTGGGGGTGGGGAGGCTTCTTTTGAAAAAGTATGCCGTACATTTTGGGAATTACTACTATAAAACAATAAGTAGGGCCACTGTAACATCAGTCTCCACCATGACGTGTTTAACCGACATTAAACCACCTAAACGACCGTGTAAACCGAGTGTGTTTTTAATCTTTTTTCTTTTTTTTTTCTTTTTTATAAAAAATTTGTAGGCCTACCGTACTGTCTCGAAATTGGGCTTCTTTTCGGGATGGGCTTCTTTTCAAGGCTTACAGGGGCGGATCTAGGTCCACATTTTTAGTGGGGGGGTCAGACTTTTTTCATAAAAACGCCAAAAAAAAAGGGTGGTCCGAGGGTCCTCCCCCGGGAAATGTATAACCCCAAAGAGGAAGGGGGTCCGGATGGTCCTCCCCCGAGATAAATTTGATTACTAGATGGCAGTAAATGAACATTCCCGACTTCTGAGGTTGTCTTTTAATGACTATTAAGTCCTTTAATTTTAAGGTTTTCCTCCGCTTGAAAACGGTCAGGTATAAACTTGTCATACTTATTACTGTAAATACTTGTAGTCCTACTATGTGTGTATGTACATTACATAACAAAAATTGAGTCGCTGCATACATACTCTTTTTTCAATAAATCGATAAATCGAACTCCAAATTTGGAAAATTTTGGTTCTTACAGTAGATGCCGAGAAATGAGTTTTCCCGGCTTCTGATGTGTCTTTTAATCAAAATTCAATGTTTTCCCCTTTTGTAAACGGTCAGGTATTTTTTTCTCATTCTTATTACAGTAAACAGGCCTATGTGTGTCAGGATCCCCTGACGCCCCCTCCCCTCAGATCCGCCAATGTTACTTTTGCAAACTAAAGGGAAGAGGCTTCAATTCGAGATGCCCTTCATCTCGAGATTAAGCCCGGATGGGCTTTATTAGAGGTTTTACGGTAATTCAAATGTACTGTACTGTACAATAACATTCCTGTCAATCACGCATGGATAGTTCAGGTAGAAACCATTTCTATGCTAGAAGTTTAATCAACGTTTAGATTTATTTAATTTTGTAATTGTTTATTTTCATGTCTTCATTATCATATCATTTTATTAATATTGCTTTATTTGTTATGATTTGCTCTTCAATAAATTTTTCTTATATCATTGTTTAATTTAATTGTTGTCTGTAATTTTATATATGTTCAGTGGCGTATCTATGGGTGTGCGGGGCTTAAGTATTTGTTAAATTTCCTTTAATTGTATTTATTTGAGGTATATTTATTAAAAATTCAACATCAAAAACATACATAGCAGCGACTAAGGCTGAATTGCGTATGAATTAACAAGAATAAAATCCAAATAAAATACAATAGTTATTATCGTATGTATTGTATTGTTATAGGCTGAATGAATGAATGAATGAATGAATGAATAAATGAATGAATAATCAAAAAGAAAGTGTAAAAGGCAAATTGGGTTATGTGTGTCTGGTTAAACAACATAGATGCAACTTGTGACGTAGTAACCAGTGCGCTACGTTTGCGCTCGTTGTTGTTTTGAGTTTGGCGTGTTGTTCTATTTATTCTAGTTACCAACGTTACATACAACGATAACAACTGCACAGGATAGCCAAATAATGATAATTTATATAAAGCATGATCATCATGCTCCTCGATGATCATTCATTCCACAAGTTGGCGTGCATTTTATCTAATTTCGGCCTAAGCCTATACCATAATGACGAGTATTACTTTCAACACGGCTTCACCTACTTATGTCACAGAAGAAGGTAAGGGAATTAAATTTAGGTCATGAATACAGTAATAATAGAACTAAAGATGTATTTTTGTTCCATGCAAAAATACCTAAAACAATCATATTTAAAAAAAATGTACTTGCTCATATTGAAGTAACATAAAAGTTATCAACTTGGACATAGGAATTAGTGTACAGTATTTAATTTTAAAATGCTTAGGCCTACCCATAATTTTACAGCGAAAAATAATAGAAACACTTAGGCCTAGCAAGAGTCACACAGGAGATTTTTTTTTATTGTCATTATCCAGTATAAACATCATGGTGCACAATTTTTCAATTCAATAATTTCTATGCTCAAGTTAATAATTTTTATGTTACTGCAAAGTTAATTTCAAAATTATTTTTTATGAATTGTCATTTTCAGGGGACAATAGGGCCTATATCTTGAATTTACTATTATTTAGAATAGGTTTATGCCTAGGCATGATTTTAGTACTCACAACACTGAAAAAATTCAATAATGAGCGTCCTTTTGTTAAATTGCCTTGGTACTCTATAGCATTTTTTCAGCAGATTATGTCCATGTGGTATTAACGGGGAAATTTCCTTCCTATAACTTCATTAAGTCGCCACTTCAAAAGGTGTAGGAACTGACATTTAAAAAAAAAATTGTTTATCCTCGGACCTGGTAGCCCCTACCGACTCATCTGATTGAATTTTTGTCAAATGTCGAAAGATTTCATTGTTAAAGAGTCCTGTGAAAAAAAAAATCTGTGTAATTCCGTTATATTACCAAAATATTATAATTTGAAAACTTTGATTGTCCCACTTTTGATATTGGTAGGTGTGTACTTTCCTTTATGCCTATAACAGTTATTATCCGATAAGGCACATCATATACTCCTCTGAAATAAGTCAAACATTTTTGTGATTTGTAATTAATAATAATAATAATAATATCTCAAATTTATATGGCGCCAATTCCAAACAAGATCAAAGGCGCACGCAACGCATGTGAAAAGCCACCGGAAAACAAATAGGTCTTAAGCTGTGACTTAAAGTTGCAAATAGAGTTGGAAGAAGTTATGTAATTTGGAAGTTGGTTCCAGAAATAGGCAGAAGCAAAAGTAAAAGAACATTGACCGTAGGTTTTGGTGCGGCATTTGGAGACAGAAAGAAGGATTTGAGAGGATGACCGGAGACGGCGAGATGGAGTATATCGGGAAATTATTGAACGTAAATATGAAGGTTCATTCATGAAGGTTCCGTTACTCGTTAGGCCCCTACATGGAATTCTTCAAATTCGTATTTGAAATTTATTGGCTTTGGATATATCTACATAATTGATTATTGCTGTTTGATTTGTTCTTATAATGTAGATTCCTCGCATTATTATTACAATTATGAAACGGATGGTGTCGATACTGTCAAATCAAAGAATGACGTCATCAGTGTTGAAGGGCTGGTTAAGCAAGATAGCACCAGAGACTGGGATGCTGGGTCAATTGCATGTATATTTGGCCCATTCCTATTTTTGTTCGTCATTATCATCGTTATCAGCTTAATCAATATGCGACTTTCGGCAAAGTAAGCAATTTAACTTCCAAAGTGAATTTTAAACTATTAATATTAACAGTACATACTAATAGTATATAATATAATAAATGTGTTAATTCAGTGTTACTGAATTTAGTTACAACAGTAAATTAGTACATCTTTGCAATACTTTCGTCAGCTGTTAAGTTGTGGCTCACTCGTTATCACATGGCCTTGCCTGTTGAGTATTCAAGTAATTTTATTAATTTATTATTAGGCCTAAAAAATGGTTTGTTTGCTGTTACATTGTAAATATTTAAGTGAAGGGGCAGACGGAAAAAGGTTTTTTTTTTGGGCCTAATTTTTTTTGTGGTTTGGGATTAGAGTAAGACACGTGATTAAAATACTACTACTACTACTACTACTGCACTACGTAACAGGTCAAGCTCACCAGCTTCATTTACTTATTAAATGTGTTAAAAAGGTACAAATCGCAACAACCGACATTGTATCACCTTTGCAGTAGTACCAACCACGAGGAGAAAAAATTTTAAAGTTAACCAAGCGTGAAACGGTCGTAGTGGGCGTGATATGGAACCGGTGGTCGTGTAAAATCAAAATTGTCGAAGAAATCGTTTTTTTTCTTTAACTAAAAAGAAATAAATTAAAAAAAAAAAACCCGTCCCTCACTTTTTGGATTTTAGGGGCGGCGGATGAAGACAAACAAAGTTTTTTTTAGGCCTTATCATTATTATTATCATCATTATTATTCTTGTTATTACTGTATTATTATTTGTATTATTGAATATTAAATGTATACTGTAGTTCATGCAGCATTATTAGCATAATGCATATTCAATAATACCGTGCATATTCAGTAACCTCTGACTCTATGAATTCAACCCGATTTTCGTATATTCACAGAAATAAAAGAGTTCACCCAGATATAGAGATGAAACCCACAGATATGACGTCATATAAAATGTACACTCCAACGAAAAAGGACCGACCAAATATCGAGTAAGCAGCATTCATATCCATACAATACAAATGAGTCATGTGATAAATTATATTTTTTTTTACGATTTCGTCTTCACTCTCACCACACCTCCATGCTCTCACAATGTTAATACTTGGTTAATATTAGCGAATGCTCATTAAAATGTGTAGGCCTATTATTAGTGTAATGCTGTGGGAAACAATGGCTGGGTCTCGGTAGAGATACAAATTTAATAAGCAACAGCTAACAATTTATTTATATATAACGGTACATATATAATAATATCAAGATAGCCGTTAACACTGTTGAATATATGATTTATATATATATATATATATATATATATATATAAATCATATATATATATAACCATGTATATATATATATATATATATAACTGAAGTAAACTATCGCAATTAGTACAAGAAGAGTGCTCAATGGTAGACCAGAGCGGATATAAATAAATAAAAAGCGAGGTTCAACAGTAGCTTTGATTAGACATTTTATTACTACTGTACTTAGTTTCGTACCACACACATGGTGTGACACTCTTCAGATAAAATTGCCTATATTTGAACATTGTTACTATTAATTATATATATATATATATATTCACGGCCCCTAAAGAAAAACAGGGGTGCCCTAAGAAATGTGATACATGTGCCTGTGCTGTAAAGACCAATCTATGCTTAACTAAGAACACTGTATACAAGATAACATGTTCCCATTGCGATATAATATACATTGGTGAAACTGGCAGAACCATTGGGTCCAGAATAAAAGAACATGTACGCTTGCAAACAGTATATACGCATCTAGCAACGCACAATAAAA